AAGCCTGGAGCCTTACCGATACAATCCGATAGAAAGGTTCAGAGACAGGAATCTTACCAATATTGTATTGGTAAGGTTCTGAGCTTGTTGAGGGGTGTGCGCTTTGACCCGCCCCTCGCTTAATCTACCTGCCAGTCCAGAACCAACCTGGGTCGGTTCTTGGCTGGCGTGCAAGCCCACGCGCCCCTTGGAAGTGTGTTTTGTTGAAATAACACGCTTCCGAGGGGCGTGCGATCAAACCCGCCCCTTCAGGAGGGGCGGGTTCGATTGCACGCCCATTTTGGAGGGGCGTGGGCGTGGGCGTGCGGGGAGGGGGAGGGGGTGTGATTATCAACGCACAGTATTCATCATGGTGGGCCATTTGCCGCCTCACAGAACAAGCAGTTGGCAAAGCCAGGTGTTTTCAGCGCATGGCTTTCTGCATGTTGAGACGTTAACAACACAGGTCAAAAAGTGACCGGCAAGTTGCATCAGAAGAATCCAAAAGACTTGGCTGAAGTGAGTGTCTGAGTATTATGAGTCTCTGTCTTGGATGGATCACTGACGTGTCTTCCAGAACACGGCCGCTTTGGCTGGTTTAACCGAGCTGGACAATCCCCGTCCGTTGGTCAAACCAGTCTTTCATCCATCAACAGCCACAATTGATTGGGCTAAAATTAACAAATACATTGGCCAGATCCTTGAGACATACACTCCCCAACCGCGACTGAGTGGTAGCTCGGACAAGTTGGTCTTTGTCAACCCAGATAAAAATCATGAGTACTTTGTAATCTCAATGCGCGTAGCCAAGGCTTGGGTCAAAGCAATGGTAAGTGCCTTTGGCCAACAATCATCTGCTTTAAATACATATTATGGTCATTGACCATAATGATCGACCAGCACTTGTCCCCGGAAACCGTGGACTTGTGGACCCCCCCCAAGACACCAATGTTTGACTACATCACTGGGCCTCTCAAGTCCGACCCGCCTCCTCCGGCAAATACTCCCCAGCAGCCAGCCCCGCCCTACCCATACCCCCCTTACCCTCACAGGTATCCACTCCCAATGGGCTATAATCTGCAGTACCCGTTTCCAGGGACTGCAACTGGCACCCATGGGCTTCCTCCACCTGGGAGTCCCAGCCAAGACCAGAACCCAGGCCACGCCCCGGCTAATCCTCAGCCAGACTCTTCCCCGGCGCCGTCAGACATGGAAGGCAACGATAACATCGCCTCGTTTCTGACATATGCTTGGGTCAACCCCAAAAGCTCGGCCTTTCGCAACGGTTTGGAGCAATTGGGCATTACTCACTGGAGCATGTTCAGACATGTTGAAGCCCGTGAGATCATGGCAGCAGGGGTCCCACTGGGACCTGCAAGGACTATTGTTGTGGCAGCTAAACGGTACTCTTATTCCTTGAAGAGCCGAGGGTGTGCCAGGGATCTCTGATTGATCACCACCTATTTATACTTGCTTGATCACCGTCTAGACTATCATTGCTTGTTAGCATTATCACCTCAAGTGCTTCAACCAATTCCCTCCTTGCTTGATAGATATCAATGGTGGCCTTTGACCATTCTCATACTTGCTCAATAGATAGCAATAGCAGCCTTTCATCATTTCTCGATTTCTACCTTCCTCCTTGCTTGATACCGGACTTGTATGCTCACATCCATGTAAATAGTCATAACCAAAAAAATGCCATCTGACATGTTATCTTCTTCATCTTTTCTTGATTGCTACCTTCCTCCTCCTTGCCTGATACCGACCTCGGATTTTCACATCCATGTTGTCAGACACTGAGACACTAGCCCAGGTGTCTACAATAGAATGTAACCCCCTTGGGTTACATAACAATTATTATTATGTGTAATCTTTAAGTTAATAATTATTAAGTAATGTTATCCCTTTTTACATGTATTTTTTATGTTAATAATTATTCTGTAAATTAATAAAGATTCACCTCTTTATTAATTTACCTCTTCCATGAAAATTATAATCAAGTTGAAAAGGATAATTATCTCCTGGGTGTATCCAAGAGATGATTATCCAATTTACCTCTCTTGTGTGTATGTTTATTATGTTTATCTCTCTTATGGTATTTTCTGAAATAAAGGATATTCAACACATGTACATTTATCATGCTCTGAATATCCTGACACTTTCCCCCAAGGAAAAGTGTAACAATAAGGGGACTGCACCGGTCCCAGCAGCAGAATTGACCCCTGCTCTGTAATATTTAAGAGGATGCTTCTCCCCCTGAGATTCATCCCCCAGACAATATTACCATACCAACCCAACTACCTTACTAAAACATATACTTAGTGAGTGGGGTTTTTAGTAATATATTATCTACAAACTAGTTGTACCTTTCTCTTTACCTTATTACTAGTCTTTATAAGTTACTTTATTAACTTATAAGACTAGTACCAACTTTATTCATCTTACTCTCTTAAGCACCGGCACAGTGAAGCTCATTCCACTGTTGTCCCTTATTATTATAAGGAGCTAGCCCCTCCACTGTACTAGTGTTGAGGAGAGGCTTAATTCCACTGGCCCTTTTGGCTAAAGTGTGACCCAAAACCCATCAACTCTAGGTCACATAAGAGACCAGAGCTGACACATGTAAATAGTCACAACCAAAAAAAAATGCCGTCTGAAAAGTTATCATCTTGATTCAAGTCTTTTAAGTAGTCACCTCACAACGGAAAAGGAATTGGTTTGCTGTCTTCCAAGTTTGTCATCTCATCACCAATTCGATCAGGTAATGACCGATCCTGAATGTTAAGCCTAAGCAATCGGTTTGCTCCATCTCATCACTGATTTGATCATGTCGACTGATCCTGACTGTTAAGCCTGAGCCATAGGTTTTCTGTTGGCTGCTCAGCAACCATTCAATGCATTCCATGTTTGTCATCTGAGCACCAATTGACTCATGTCATGACCGATTCACCAATTGGATCGAGTCATGACCAATCCTGACTGTTAAGCCTCAAGCACACAAAGCACAAGTCAACTCAGTTCCTATTCCAATCAATCTGTTTTTGAGATTGATGTCGCTTCACATTGTCAATATACAATCATAGGGCCAAGAGATCTCTAACAAAAGATATGAGTGAAAAATCTTGAAAGGGGATCAGAGCAAATAAATCAACAATCATGATGAGCAAGTTTGGCGGCTTAGGAAGACAAAATCAACTGAGACAACAAGGACAGCAGACACCAAGAAACCTGCTCAATCAATGTAGCCACACCCTCTGAAGAGCTTTTGCATCAATGTGGTGTTGAAGACATACTGAACATGAGTTTCAATTACACTGCTGTCTCCAACCCCTCCATCTAGGTGCCCATACCAACAAAGTGATGCCTTGAGGATACTGAAACCCTTCTCAATCGGATTCATGTCCGGGGAGTAAGGAGGGTGGTAAAAAATCCGGTGTGGTGTTCTAAATGGTACAGGCCCCCTCAAGATCAAATTTCAATTTTCAATTTTCAACCTTTCAATATCCTCAAGCCTCAAGATTTCAACAATTTCACCTCAAATCCCCTCTCAGTCCTACAGTTTCCTTCATTATATTATTTTACTATGTTTTTGTTTCATTTTATTAGGGCTTTAATAAAAAACCCCGCATTTTCCGCGTTTTGACGCGCTTTTTCTGCGCGCAGCACACGCGCATTTATTAATTAATTTATTTTGGGCCTTAATAAAAAAACCCGCATTTACCGCGTTTTGACACGCTTTTGCTGCGGCACAGCACACGCGCAATCCGTGTTTAAACGCGCTTTTTTAATTAATTAATTTTTGCCATTAATTTCAAGTTTTTTTGATTTTTTAAAGTTGTTTCCTACACTTTAAAAGGTGTAGAATTTAATGGTAAAAACCATTTTCCATAAAAATGAATTTTGATTATTAATTATTTTTTTTCACTGATTTTTCAATTAATTGTTTGCATGCATGTATGTACTTTATTTTTTAAGTTTTTTGGAGGTTTTGAAATTATTTTCTAGGTTTTAAAATATGAATAATTTAATGGCGCAATCCAAATTTTTTGAAACTCAACGGTTCACTTTGAATACTGAAATTAGACACTTTTTTCACTTAAATTTTTACAGCTTAATTTTCATTCTTTTTTCACTTTTTAAATCTTTTTCCCACACTTTAAGACATATTGGTTAAAATGATGATAAAAATGGTTTTGCATAAAAACTAAAGATTTGTAATGAATACTGCATGGGACAGGTTTTTTTTGATTTTTTTTTTAATTAATTTTTACCGGCTCAATTTTAATCTTTTTTTGAAATTGTAAATCTATTTCCTACATCTCAAAGTGTCTAGAATTTAATGGAAGAATTCATTTTGCCTCAAAAGAAAAGCTTCAATCTTAATATAAGAGTGTACACTATTTCTTGCATAATTTGTACTGTATACAAATTTTATTTGAATGCAAAATGGATACAGCCAACAATTTGAAAACGTTTCAAAGTGTAGGAAATGAACTTAAAATTCCATAAAATAAGGATAATTAAGCGTGTAAGAATTAATTAAAGAAACATGTCAAAGGCTTTATTCAAGGTACAGCTTTCATTTTGATGCAAATTGATTTATACCATAACTCTAAACATGTCTGAAAGTGTAGGAAACAGATTTAAAATGTCAAAAAATCATGAAAATTAAGCTCTTAAAAATCAATTGAATTTTAAGGCTGATTACAGTATTCAGAATGAACTGTTGAGTTTTATGGAAATTGAATATTACCAGTAAATTCTAAACACTTTGAAATGTAGGAAAAAACTTTCAAATTTCAAAAAAGCATAAAAAAAAGGTAAAAAAATTAATGCAAACAATTGAGTGAAAAAGTGAAGAATTAAATAAAAAAACGGTGTCAAATGCAGTATACAAGATGTAGTTCTCACTTTGATTCAATTTGATTTTTACCATAAATTTCTACATGTCTGAAAGTGTAGGAAAAAAGTTTAAAATGTGAAAAAAGAATGAAAATTGAGGTCTAAAAATTTAAGTGAAAAAATGGGTGTAATTGCATTATTAAAAATGATCCATTAATTTTTATGAAAATTGGATTTGACCATAAATTTCTACACACTTAATAATGTAGGAAACAACTTTAAAGTTACACAAAATCTTGAAAAATGAGGTAAAAAACTTAAAGCAAACAATTAACGGAAAAAATGAGTGAAAAAAAAATAATTAATAATCAAAATTCATTTTTATGGAAAATGGTTTTTACCATTAAGTTCTACACCTTTTAAAGTGTAGGAAACAACTTTAAAAAATCAAAAAATCTTGAAATTAATGGCAAAAATAAATTAATTAATAAATGCACGTTTAAACACGGAATGCGCGTTGTTGAAGGTGTAATCCCTGTAGAAGGGAACACAAGCAGCAATTGCATCAGCAGTGATGTGCCTGCTGCAACACCTGCTGAGCATTGTGTATCATAAAGCAATAAAAGAAGTAATGCACCAGAGGACTGGAGCATTCCCTTTAAGAAGAAAAAGTAAATCTTTACTTTCATTTTCTGAAAGCAAAATTTTACTTTACCCAGAAGAAAGTACACCAGTACTTTCCTCCTGGATAAAAAGTCTCATGGAGCTTTCTCCACAAGAAATCAGGCTGCTGAGACCAATGTCTTAGCAGCAATATTCTTGTATAAATATCAGTTCCCTTTTCCCCCATTTTGTATCTCTTATCTATTCACTTTATCATCTTATCTTATCTTAACCACTTACCCACTTACCAACACACACACTCACACACTCACAACAACTACCACCAACACCTTTGTACCCTTTCCACTCTATTATAGTAGAAACTCATCAAATAAAATTCCCTCAAAACAACCCCCCAACTACAACACGCGTGTGCTGCGCACAGCAAAAGCACATCAAAACGCGGAAAATGCGGGTTTTTTTATTAATGCCCTTTTATTATTTCATTTCCTCTAATTATTTTTCCTTCATATCATTTTTCATTCATCCTGACTTAATTTTTATTTTACCATTTATCATTCTTTATTATATTTTTCAAATCACCTACCCAGTAGACAGTCTTGTTTTATTTTCTTGGTCCTAAGACATCTTAGTATGTTGGTTTATTTCACTCTTGATTCTTTTCTTTTCTTTTCTTTTGTTTTGTTTTGTTCTGTTCTGTTCTGTTCTGTTCTGTTCTGTTTTGTTCTTTTTTGTGTTGTGTTGTGTTGTGTTGTGTTGTGTTGTGTTGTGTTGTGTTGTGTTGTGTTGTGTTGTGTTGTTTTTGCTTTTTGATTGAGTTGTGTGTAGTTAGGGATGTGATGACATGTCTGTGACATGTCACTCCCCAGAGTCAAAGTTCAGTTTGAACTGAGATGATGAAGAAGCATGGCACTCTGATCTGATCCAAGATAGACCCATCAAATTTCATTGATCTTTTCATTCTTGATACTTCTGATCCT